AACACCCAAAATTTTGTTCAAAAAAAATTTTTTTTTCGAAAAAAGTCTATTTTTGTATAAAAAAAAAATTTTCGAAAAAAAAGTTTTTTCGAACAAAATTTTGGGTGTTCCCAAAAAAATTTTTTTTTTCTCAAAAAGTCTATTTCTGTATAAAAAAAATTTTTCGAAAAAAAAATTTTTTTCAAAAGTAGGACTTGAGGACCTAAGGGTACCCCTCAAGGGGGAAAAAGCGAGACTTCACGTACTTCACCGTACTTCACTCGTACTTCACCGTACTTCACTCGTACTTCACTGTACTTCAATCGTACTTCAAATTTTTTTTGAAGTAGATGAAGTCTCGCTTTTTCCCCCTTGGGTCTATCTCTCTTTCATTCATATAATAATCATTATCTTATGCTTCTCTTTTTTTGTGCTTCTTATTTTTTTATTTGTTCGTTTATATAGACTCTCTCTCTGTCTTTAGCTGTTTCTCCATCATTGTCTTTGAAAGTTTTCCGTCTGCTTGATTCTTTGTTTCTGTCTAACGATGTATTGTCAGCATCGCCTGTTTCATGTAGTAATTAAGCAATGAAAGAAAAGTAATTTGAAAACACAAAGATACAGACACACACACAGGTACTGAAGAATTTCAATTTTATGACTGAAAGAAAATCTCATTATTTGGCAAGAAGTGTTGTCAATAAGGATATGAAGATGTTTTCATTCGATTTACTTAGTATTACATTTATGATAATAGACTCTTGAGATGACCTGAATTAGCATCGGTCAGTGTATCCTTGTCATAGATGACTTATCATAATAGCAAAATGAAAGCGATGAGAACGTTTTTTCGGTATCGGAATGAGACAAAAACTATTCCAATTAAACACTAACAAATGCAATGAAAAATCCAGCTTCATTATGTTGTTTCAGTCTTGATACAATAATTGAATGACATGTTCGACAGAAAATGTTTCTTGAAATCCAAAGCAACTTCGGCTTTCTTTTAATCGCAATACAACGCAGCTATTAAGATGAAAATGCATAAGACTGATTTGATGCTAATAGTCTTAATGATAAATAAGCTCACACTTATTTCGACAGCTGAAAAGTGAAAATAAAGGAGACACGGATGCAGAAGTGGTATTCGCTGAAAATAAGCGCCGCATTTGTTTATTGGAATCGTTAAAGATCGATTTATGAGAAGATGTATATGGATCAATGAAATTATAGCTTTCAATTGACGCGATAGGTGATCACTACTATTTAGTTCATCAGAGAAGGTCAGTTGGATATAGTGAACCAGTACTTTCGTATTAACACGGGTATGCATTTGAACTTTCTAGAAGAAATCATCCAGACTGGAATTCAACATCATTAGCTAAAGTCATCTACACCCTTCAAATATGAAATAATACGTGGAAGTTGCCTCTTTCAGAGCAAAACACGGTTTAGACCCGCTTGTTAAGACAACGTGAAATTAGTAAAGCCGGTTCGTTAAGCTCCGAAAGAGAAAGACAACCGATAACGATTAGGTGTGGCACTTTAACTTTAAACATACTTAAATAAAGTGCTTAGAGTTAGAGTAGTCTATTTTAAAATTTAAAGTTAAAGTGTCACCCTCAATGACGATCATGTTTAGTAGAGAGAAGACTTCTTGAGGATGGGATTTCGCCATCTTTCATTTATGGCCACATCCTCGATAGGTACCAGAAACCCTCAGTTAGTGGAAGCTATCAGTAATTCAATTGGCGTCTCACAGAGTCACTTCATGTCATTTGCTACAGTAGTAGTAAAAATAGACAATTGAGTCATATGAATCGCGTTAGATCATTTTGTCCAATGTACCACATATCGATGATAGCAAAGATCTGTAGGTCCATATCTTAAATGATCTAAGGGTGGGTGTAGGGTGTGTGGGAGTGAGTGTGTCTGCGAAAGAAAACTCACACTCACCACCTACCCACACCCACACCCTATGTCAACGCAGCGATATCAATAAAATAAATGACACTATCAATAACAAATAATATTCCAATTTAACTTGTCATCATTGACGGCTTATTATTAAAATGATATTAAGAACATGACCGATTTTTATTGTTTATCCACGCTTCTTTTCTTAAACTTACGAGTAGATTGTTCATATTGTTCAATATTTTTCCTAGCTATTGTAATACGAACTGAAGGATACTGGGAACTATTTTTAATCACATCAGCAGTCTAATTCCGACTAAACACAAATATCAATATTTTTTAATCTTTACAGTAACATCATATGATGTTGCAGGCGTTCTCATCAACCACATCAACATTCTACACTCAACAGTTGAGTTGTAATCGATAATGGTAAACACATGGTCAAGATTAGTCTATTAAAGAATTCTTTACTGGGTGTGGATGTAATTGAAGTAAATACCCACAGTCACAATCACATTCCACTTCCATCCACGTCTGTATCATACCAAAGACCCATGAATAGTTCTAATAATTTACTGGAAGCTAAAAGTTTAGCTTGAAAGGGAACAAGTTATGGGTGTGAGTGTGGGTGTGTAATGGCTGATGCATTTACACCCACATCCTACACTCATGTTCTCATCTTCAATCAAAGTTATAATCGACTGAATAGGTCTTTTTGTACTCATAAAAGCAATAATACATTGTTCATAATTATTATAGATATATGATACTATTTGCAAGAAGATGAGCAGAATATGGTTTTAATATTTATATTTTATTAGAATTGAAAATTGAGAAAAATACAGAAAAAAGGAAGGTAACTACTCAATAATGTTCGTTGATGTTAATGATAGTTGATGGTTATTTTCCATTTTCTTGACGAATTTGTCTCTTTGTCAAGTGCCCTAAGAAGACAAAAAAAGCACTTAATTAATATAAAATTATACGATATTCGAAATAATAAATTTAAAGAAGAATATATCAATAACCGAATAAAATATGATAATATTCTCCTGATGAATTATTATCGAAATATAATATTGATTAACATACTATTATTACACCTTTTCCACGATAATAACGATCAGTAAGAGGAGCAACACGAGTAACACAAGGAGTGCGAGCAGCATCATGACCATTACACATATCAGTGATTATAGCATGAGTTTTACGATCAACACCAACACCACCAGTAGTGCCACAACGACAACACCGAGGGTGGGTGGGTGTGGATGCGGGTGTGGGTGTTCCTTTTGTCTTTAATCACATACACCCACACCCACACCGACACCCAATATTTATAACATCGTCACATTCACATATCAAACGACGGGATTTTTGATGACCATCGGTTATGACGGCCTTCGAACAGTGTTCACCGCATGCTTTTGTTATGTCTTTATGTCTGCTCCAGAATGTAACAAATAAATGATAAAAATAATCCAAATTTTGCTCGAGATGAAGAGTACGTGATATTGATTTTGAACTAAGATGGTATACAATATTATGTTCTAAGCCTAACATTAGCTGAAATCGAGTTAGGTCATATAATAACCAAAATGTTTCAAATCGTTTTGATAATGAGCGACAAGTACATTCTAATGGTATATTATTATCGGCATAAGTGTCTAAAATCGTCCGACATATTCCTTGAAATGTACATTGAGCAAAAATGAATAAATTACTAAAAAACTTGACCAAACTTATGGACCAAGTAATGTCACTAGATATATAAAAAACATCTGAACGAGATATTGATTCTTGTGTAAAAATGTACTGACATTCATCACACTTAATAACACATGTTGGTCCAAATTTTAAATGACATATTTTGCACATGCCAATCACCATGGTGCACCATATCCATTTGTCGATGTATAAAAGTCGAGTATTACTATAGTCAAAACTCAATAAACTTTTACTGCACGTTGTGCATCTTGTCGAGAATGGAACAATAACTTTATTTGTGAAAAGCGATGAGAGTTTTTCATTGTTAGATGTTATACAATTTGAAATAAAACTATCAAATGTATCGCTTGCTCGAGTAAGACGAGATATAAAATCTGAACGTAAATGTAATTGGTTGAGTAAAATGAGTACTTTATGTTCAGGTACATTCAGATGAGTGTAGGAATTAACTAGTTCAGTAATAGTTGTTGTGCGTGTAGATGATGGAAGTAAGTTTAATGGTAAATCAGCAATTCTTCTTACAACAGCTATTATCATCATAAGTCCATCAAGACCTACCTGTTCGACAAGAGACGAAAATAATTCAGCATCCTCAGAAAAATGCAATGAAGACATTGTCCAAAAAAATGATAGATAGCATATACACCTATTGAAACAACAACAAATCAAACATTAGTATTCAATCAAATAAGTGTCCATTAGTTTTAGCTTCATTTCCAGTGGCTTTCTTAAGATTATGTCTGAATCCTGTGTGGGGCGAAAGAATATGTTTCAGTATTATTTTTTGTCTTTTTTATTTCTTTGAAAAAAAAACCTATACAAGTCGTCTCATGCATTCACTGAATTTCTTGACCAGTTAAAATTTTTGAATAACTTCAAGAATAAAGCCATTTGAGCTGTTGAGTAGCTGCCTAATTCGACTTATAATATAAATGCAGAAATATAACCACACTATTCATAGGCATAGATTTAGTTCTAGTCATAGTTGTATAGATATACATAGATACCCATGTTATTCATAGGAATAGATTTAGTCATAGTTATATAGATATACATAAATACCCATGTTATTCATAGGAATAGATTTAGTTTTAGTCACAGTTATATAGATATACATAAATACCCATGTTATTCATAGGAATAGTTTTAGTTGTAGTCACAGTTATATAGATATACATAGATACCCATGTTATTCATAGGAATAGATTTAGTCATAGTTATATAGATATACATAAATACCCATGTTATTCATAGGAATAGATTTAGTTGTAGTCATAGTTATATAGATATACATGGATACCCATGTTATTCATAGGAATAGATTTAGTTTTAGTTATAGTTATATAGTTATATACATAGATACCCATGTTATTCATAGGAATAGATTTAGTTTTAGTCACAGTTATATAGATATACATAGATACCCATGTTATTCATAGGAATAGATTTAGTTTTAGTCACAGTTATATAGATATACATAGATACCCATGTTATTCATAGGAATAGATTTAGTTCTAGTCACAGTTATATAGATATACATAGATACCCATGTTATTCGTAGGAATAGATTTAGT